CTGCACCCGTGCCAGTTGCAGGGTCTGCTGGCGGGGTGCTGGCAGGCTTGCACCTGGCACGGGCACCGTAGCCAGCCTGTGCCCCTTTAAGAGGTCCGGGGCCGGGAGAGGGACAATAGAGTTTGCCTGGTGTTGGCCAGAGTGGCCACCAGGGAAAGCTGGGGAGGGCTAGCCTCCCACTAGTTCGAACTAAAGGGCTACACAGCCCTTAGTTCGAACTAGTAAGTTCGAACTAGGCGTTAGTCCTCGTGCAATGAGGTTTACCTAGTTCGAACTAAGTGCTCCGCTAGTTCGAATTAAGTTCGAACTAGCGGAGCGCTAGTGTAGCGCCTATCAAAGTTAATTCGAACTAACATCTGTTAGTTCGAATTAACTTTGTAGTGTAGACATACCCTTATAGAGAGAGGAAGTGGGCTAGCACAAATGCCATTCTGGTTTTGTTCCTCACTGTGCATACATACTCAAGACATAGAAACCCTGAACAGAGCACAACTGTTATTTCCTATACTGCTGAAACATTTCTGTGCATGCACAAATCCTTGCTGCAAGTAGGTGGCAGTGCACCACTGAGCAAACCAAACCAAGGATTGCTTGGCAATAACAAATTAACCCTTTATGCTCTCAGAAAGAACTGACTTTTTTTTCATTAAAATTGGGGCTGGAGTGGTCATTTAAGCCTCTTCAAGGCTAATGAGTCACTTCTGCTCCAATATCTTTTATGAGTGCTAACAGCTAATTTAGACCCCACCATTTTGTATGTGTAGTTGGGATTATGTTTTCCAATATGCATTATTTCGCATTTATCAACATTGAATTTCATTTGCCATTTTGTTGCCTAGTCACCAGTGCAGTGAGAACTAGGGATGTTAAAAGTCTGTTAATACGGTAACCGTGAAACTGCTGAAAATCTCAGAGGTTACATGTGCTGCAGTATAAAGCTTCAATAAGCCTGTAGCAAAGTCTTCCCAGGAGCGGGGGCACCAGTATCTGCTGCCTCCAATGGTGAGAAGCAGCTTTGCTGGTGCAGAAAAAATGCCTCCCTGGGAGCTGGGCAGACAGAGGCTGCTCGCCTTGCTCCTGGAGTGGAGGCTTCCCTGCTGCAGCGAAGGCGTCTCCCTGGGAGGTGGAAGAGTGCAATCAATAAGCATCAGTCTATCAGTTAATTGGTTAAACTCTAACATCCCTAGTCAGAACCTATTGTGACTCTCTGGAGTCAGCTTTGGATTTAATTATTTTGAGTAATTTTTTATTGTCTGCAAATGTTGCCATCCCCCTATCCACCCTCTTTTCCAGATTTGTTGATATGCTAACTGCACAGGTCCCACAACAGATCTGTGGGGAATCCTACTACTTACCTCTCTCCATTGTGAAAACTGACCATTTATTCCTACTCTTCCATTCCTTCTTTTAACCAGTTACTGATTCATGAGAAGCCCTTCTCTTTTACCTCATGACTGCTTACTTTATTTAAGAACCTTCGGAGCGGTATCTTGTGTAAGGCTTTCTGAAAGTTCACATACACTATGTAAATTGAATCACTGTTGCCACATGATTACTAGCCTGTAATTACCAGGAACTCCTCTGGAGCCTTTTTAAAAAATAGGTGTTATATTAGCTACCCTCCATTTTCTGGGTACAAAAGCTGATTTAAGTGATAAATTACATACTACAGCTAATAGTTCTGCAATTTCATACAAGAACTTTTGGGTGTACGCCATCTGTTCCCGGTGACGTATATCTGCTTATCAATTGTTCCAGAACTTCCTCTTCTGACACCTAAATCAGGGAGAGTTCCTCAGATTTGTCACCTAAAATGAATTGGTCAGGTGTGGGAACTTCCCCCACATCCTCTGCAGTGAAGATGGATGCAAAGAATTCATTTAGTTTCTCAGCAATAGCCCTGTCTTGCTTGAATGCTTCTTTGGCTTCTTGATCATCCAGTGGCCTCTCTGACTGTCTGGCAGACTTTCTGCTTCTCATGTGCTTTTGCTGCTAGGTTTTCCATCCTTAGATATAGCTAGTTTCTCTTTAGATTCTTTCTTGGCCTGCCTTATTATGTTTTTATATTTGATTTGACAGAGTTGATGCACCTTTCTATTTTCCTCACTAGTATTTGACTTACAGGTTTTGAAGGGTGCCTTTTTGGGCAAATCAGGGATAGAGGAGGGCATGGTTATTGGCCCCTACCATTCAAAGACCTTGCTCTTCTCTCCTGTCTCCCAAGCACTCTGTTGACATTGGGAGTACCAATACTTCTTTCTCCGCTGCTGCTTCAAGAAAAGCACCCCACAAAAAAACCTTACTAACTTGGCCCCCAAATGAGAGACACTCACCTCACTCACGAAGCACTACAACCCCAAAGGGGAAGGGGCAGGGAAGAGGCTTGCCCTGCAGGTGGAAGCCCTAAGCCTCATCACAAGTCACATCTAGCCCATGGGCCATAAGTTCTCTCACCCTGATTTAAGACTGCTTACTGGATAAATATGATCTTATACCTGGATTCTCTGGGGGATTAAGGAGTTGTGTGGGGGAAGAACTGTGTCACAGTCACTCCATTCCAATCTTCAGAGCCTGATCTTTCCTCACATGGGGATTTTTGTGGAAATAAGGGTAGAGAGAGCTCACCCCTCTTTTTTCCACAGGCTAGAGGAAAGATATACCATATTTGGGTTCCTTCCTGTCATCCACTATGAATATTTAATCACCATCCTCCTGCAGTCTAGAGGGAAGCATTGGCCACTGCCCGCATCAGAGTATTTCTCAAGAATTGTATGTTCCAAGATTGTGCACTTTACTTTTAAAAAGAAATATTGTGCAGATCCTCCACTGGTGTAAACCAGCACAAGCTCATTGAAGCTTCATCAATTTACAGCAGCTGAGAATGTGGCCCTACTAATGTATTCTTGTAAGGCCACAACTCCTGCGTAATACATCATATAGGATAAAGTAAGGGGTTTGTGGTTTACGGGCTTTCTTTGACCTCATTGCATTTTTTTTCATTTCTGAACTTATAGCCACAACCCATACATTCATTTAAGGAAGCTTTAAGTCAGTGGGTTGTACAGGAACTTGTGTAATGCAAATGAGTAGCTGGTAGTTAAGTTCAGCTTATAAAGTGCATTAGCACTTGCACACTGGTTAAAGGCTGTGCTTTGCTCTTTGCATTTGCTTCAAAATGGAAAGTTCTGAGTTCCGCTATGTTTACTATTTAGTCCAGGATTATCTGAAATACATTCTTCAGGAACCTGAGCTTGGACCAGCCCCAAGCAGAGTTGCTCATGTCTTAAGAAATTCTGCATCTTTTCTTCAAAAAGAAAACGAAGAGATACTGAAACCATGTTTGGACACACTTGATATTACCTCTGTAGATGCTGCCAGAAGAATTTTCATTCAAGTCATGGATAAAGAATTTGATGATGGAAACACTAACTGGGGGCGGATTTTGACAATATTTATGTTTGGAGGAATTCTTTCTAAGAGGCTTCAAGAACACAAAGTTCAGCTTACAGGAGATAATAAAGAGCAGATTTCTTATTTCATCACGGAGTACATTATAAACACCAAGGCTGAATGGATAGATGCAAATGGAGGCTGGGTAAGTTTCAGTGATGTATTTTATAACCACTTTTCACTGCTATCTACATCAGGATACTTTTCCTTTACTATATTTAAAAATGCTCTTTTAACTACTGTCAAAAAGTACTGTCAACTTAGCCACGGCTTTATCATTTCCTTTATTTAAAGCTTTTAAATATTGAATTCTTCCTTAAAACTGAAAGCAAATATTTTGTTTCAGATCTGAATTAGAGAAAAATACAAGACCTTTTTAAGGTGCCTGTGACAGTATAAACCACTAAAAGTAAGCCGACAGTATGCCTTCCAAGCTGAAATTAAAGTGAAAGCATGCAATAATGCTGTGAACAGCCTGATCCAAAGCCTTTTAAAATTTGTATAGGTGTAATCCTGCCCATAGTGAAATCAGTAGAAGTTTTGCCTTTGAGCTCAATGCAACCAGGTTTTCATCCCTTGTCAGTTTAGTTGTACAGTCTGATAATTAAGAACAACTGTAGTCAAATCCTGCTTGACTTATTCAGGCATTGAGACTACAGTAATTATGTGAGTGGAAATTGGCTGAGATATTCCTAAGACTTCTCAATGGTTATTTTACAAATATGAATAAAGTATTTAACAACCAGTATATATCTCTTTGTCCAGCATAATATATATGACCAGTTAATGAAAGTCCCTATGCTGATGTAAATGAAAGTTGTAGGAAACTCCACTCTTCTGCTTTGCAGTTTCATCATGTAAACTTGGTTTTCTGTAGGAGTTATGGGGAAGTTGAAGGTAAATGCCATCAGAGCCTGAGATCCCCTGATATTTTTTGTGTGTGTATGTATGCAAATGTCACTTTCTCTTTATATTGCCTCTTTGGGCCTTATTCTGCTCTTAGTGCAATTACTCTTGCTTTACATCCTTGTAGAGCTTAGAAATCAGGTTTATTTTCTCCTTTCTTATCTGTTCCCCTTTACTATTGTCTTTCTCCTGTCCTCTGCCTTTCCCACACTTTTCTCCAGCTTGCTTTTGCTCTATTTCTCTGTTGGGTAACAGTTGTAGTGAGTTCATGTATAGAGTCTCCTTTGCTTGCCTCTTTCCGTCAAATCTGTTTAAGATCAGCATTTATTCCTGATTTTTTTTTCTTTCACTGTATCAGGAATTTTCAGTATTTACATCATAATATCAGAAAGAGATAGGTCCAGCCACAAAGTTTAAATCCAATCTAAATAATGAAACTTCCTCTGAAGGGATTAGGCACGGAAGGAGCAAATTTAGTCATGTTTTCACCTGGAGAGGAGACAGGCATTGAATGATTTGCAAATAGCTTCAGCTACTTTTTTAAAAGTCCAGTTCATTTTTTTCTGAGGCAGCAATCTGTAAACCTGCTTCTGTGGACATAAAGGCTCAATACCCTCTATTGAACTGAAAGCCTCCTGCTATCATGAATCAATGATGCATTTTTTACAAGCTCATTATTATAAAGGTGTAACCAGACTTTCTATATTCTTCTCCACAGGAAAACGGCTTCCTACCTATGTTTGAAGAAAAACAATCGTGGCTGTCATTATTCAACATTAAAGCAAAAATCATGGATGCTTTTTCCTTCTTCAGTCAGTATTATTGATAAGATGGAGATCAGCCTTCCACATGCAAACTGGACGTTGCAATGGGATTCATTAGAATAGTTTCCTGCAAGCAAGAGGAAAATGTATCAGCCTTCTGGAATTAAGGACAATGTTTACTTGTTTAGATTATATTTTAATTTATATATTTACTAGTAAATATTTAGCTGCTGGCTTATTTCACAGCAGCAAAGACTGGAATTCTCTAGCTATCAAAGAGGTACAGAACTGACAACCAATATGTCTCAAACCTGACCTGGAGAGAACATCTCTGGCAGGTTGGCTTAAGGTATGCAATCCAGCTACACAAAAACCGCATGCTCCTGTCAGTTTCCCTTACTCCTCACAGAATGGGCAGTACACAACGCTGGTGGGGGCAACCCTCAGCTTTCAATTTGGGGGTCTACACTACCCTTGCTAAATCGAACGCTAGAAAAATGACCTCCTGAGGGTTGATCTTTTCTGTGGTGTAGACAAGCCCCAGGAAAGACAGAGATCAAGTCAGTATTTGTCTTCTCTGATGGACTTTCAGGCTACATCTAGACTACCATGCTTTATCCGATAGTTTTGACAGAAGTGGCTTTTCCGAAATTTTGCCCGTCTACACTGGGACAAATTTCAAACCACCTCTTTTGAAAGAGCCATTCTTCCTTGTGGAAGGAGGAAGACAGGGCTTCCGAAAGAATGCGTGTGCTCTTCTGCAAAAAAAAGCAGAAGAGCAGGCATGTTACCTGGATATGGCGGAGTTTTTCCCAGAAAAGCTCCATAGTCTAGATGAAGCCTCAAAGATGTGCAGTATTAGCTACACATAATCCAATGGGTTAGGAGCAGTATCAGTTTTAATTCTGCATTTTAAAAATGTTGTGAATTAACAGCCTTACATTATTGCATTTTTGTTGTTTACTTTATCAGCAGAAGGTTCTTAAATAAAGGGACTAAAACACTTACTCATGAAAGCATATTTGAGTTCATGAGCTGGATTTGGGACCAGCAATTTAAAATGTGTGTAAATATTTACTAATCAGTACAATGGAATCTGTTTAACAATTTCTTTTTTAAAAAAAGATCCTTCATATGCATAGTGGATGTTCTTTTTATTTGCAATGGCCATATGATTTATTTGTGTAAAGAGATGCTTTTAAATGGCCAAGTGCAAAATGGTTATTCAAAATATATTTGTATCTAATTAAAACACGACCAATAGGTTGTTTTGTTTCATCACTGTGTTATTTTTTCTTTTCAGCCAAGTTAGATACTTTACTAGGTGTAAGTGTGGGCATAGCTGCAAATTCAGGCATTATGGGCCTGATTAGAATGACCATATTTCCCTCTGATGAATACAGGACACCTGATGAAATTACTTTTATTCAAGTGAGCTCAACAGCAATCAATCATACAAATGCTCAAATTAACATCAAGTTAACTGAGACTTTGTTAAAAAAAATACTACTTAGCTGGATTCTTTTTATTTCCCTTTTCTCTTCAGGGTACGTCTACACAGCAACATTATTTCAAAATAACTTAGTCCATGTCTATATAGCAGGCAGTTATCTCAAAATAATGTTGAAATGCTGTCAAGCTGGAGGACTTCTTACTCTGACTCCTATAGCCCTCATTGTACGAGGAGTAAGGGAAGTTGGAGGAAGAGTGCTCTTTCGAAATAAGTGCTGTGTAGATGCTCCCAATTTTTAAAAAAAAGCTATGTTGAAATAAGCTACGCAGTTGACATTGCTCAATTTGCGTAGCTTATTTCAAGTTAAGCCCTGCTGTGTAGACATCCTAAGGTTTTAGGGTTGACAGAGAGAAGGGTGACATCCCTTATCCCCCCCATGAGGGGAGGTCTCTCTCTCTCTCTCTCTCTCACACACACACACACATACACCTCTCTCACATGAGGGGTGTTTGACCAATTGACCCAACCATCCCTGCCCTGTGCTTTGCACCCTCCATGTCTGGCTGGACCTCCAGGATGGACCTGTTTCTCCTGGTACTTGGCACTGCCTCTTCCCAAGGCAATGTATGTGCAGGGGTCACACAGGGGCTAGGTCTACACTACAGAGTTTTTGCACAAAAACGGCAGTTTTTCTGCAAAAACTCGCAGAGTGTCCACACCTCAAGCGCGTTTTTGCGCAAGTAAAATGAAAGAACAGAGGAGGTTTTCCGGTGTAGGTATTTCTCCTTCTACGAGGAATAACTCCTTTTTGCGCAAGAGCTCTTGCACAAAACGGTGTGTGTGGGTGGGGAACAGGGTTTTTTTGTGAAGAAATAGGCAATCAAAAAAAGCACAGGTGCCCTGGTGGCCATGCTGTACATAGCAATCAGAGTTTCCTTTTGAGAGAGCGTCCATGCAGTCTGGACGCTCTCTTGTGTAAAAGCGCATCACTTTTTTGATGCGCTGTTGCAGTGTGGACGCACTCTTGTGCAAGAAGTTTTTGCGGAAGAGATCTTCCGCAAAAAGCTTCTTGTGTAAGAAGCCTGTAGTGTAGACATAGCCCCACGGGTCACATTCCTTCCTCCCCTAGATTTCTGCCAGGGTTAACACCAGAATGTGGTCAGCAGCAGTCTTTTGACACTGTGCAGCTGCCTTTTGGCACTAAGATGGAAGCTGCTTCCAGCTGCAGAGATGGAGAAGATGACCTGGCCCATGTCTTTGCAGAGCTCTTCTCTCCCCGCACCCTGCTCCTGTTTGTTTGGAACCAGTTTGCCTCTTCCTGTCTACAGTTTCCAAAGGCACTAACACCTCCAGGCTGCTGCTGGCCACCAACATAACCCAGCCACCTCCTGGCCAGAGAGGTGGCTGAGCATGGGAGGGTGCCTTGGGGACAGAGCAACTTCATGTTCCCAGAGGGCAGAACCCAGCCCATGGTGTAGGTGAAGAGGATTCTAAGCCACTGTCCTTGGGGCTGCTGTGGAGTCTGTGGGGTATAAACAGGCTGGAAATTACTTTACCCCCACCAGTCCAGGGGTTAGCAGAGGGGCAGAGAGGCTTTGGCACATATAGGGCTGAGCTCCTCTGGGCCAGATCCAGTAGGTGTGTGGGTTACACATGGATCAGATTTGGATGGCAGCATTTGATATTTAGGAAACTCATTTAATGAATAAGGTAGAAGCTTTTGAAAAGTCACAGGAACACCCGCTAATGGATGGACCAAAGTGGACACATTTGTACTGAATCTGGCCTTATACTTGCTTTCTGATTTCAAATATTGCCTATTAAAGATTTCAATTTATGTTAACTAAAAGACCTTTTCTTTAATTATTAGGACTGTCGTATTCTCCTGGAATAACTGATGAGAGCTGAGACATGTTGGCATGTTCCCTGTAAGCTATGTGCACGTGTGACCACTCAAGAGTGATTCAGATGCTGCCCATCTGATTAGCAGACCACCCACAGCAAGGTTTTTTGTTTCTACTGGTGGTGCACATTTGCACATACCTCAGAGCACATAAAATTATTCTGCACATGGAAGGAAAAAATCCACACATTGATTTTGAAATAATCAAAATCCATTTGAAATAAATTTGAAGTAACAGGCTTCTTACTCCAACCTCTGTGAACTTCATTTCATGAGGAGTAAGGGAAGACGGGGGAAGAGGGCTCTATTTCAAAATAACTGCTGTGTAGACAGCACCAAAAGTTGATATAAGCTCTTAGCATATCTCAAGGTACGTAGTTTATTTTGAGTTTAGCTTTGCTACGTAGCCATGCCCTTACAGATTAGGGATTTTAAAGCAGTTCAGTTCACTGTCAAACACAACTCTAAGGCTACGTCTAGACTGGCATGATTTTTCGCAAAGGCTTTTAACGGAAAAGTTAAAGCACACGTGCCATGTGTCTGGGGGCGGGGCTGCGCATGTGCCGTGCGCCCAGAGGCGGGGCCGCCCATGCGCTGTGAACCTGGGGCCACGCATGTGCTGCGCGCCCAGGGTAGGGGCCGCCCATGCACTGCGAACCCAGGGCAGGGGCCGCCCATGTGCCACGCACCTGGGGGCAGGGCCGACCCAGATGATTCGGTGGGCACACATAAATGCCCTGGCGGGTGCCATGGTGCCCACGGGCACCACGTTGGAGATGACTGCCCTAATACATCTGTTAGTCTTGAAGGTGCCACAGAACTCCTCATTTTTTCAATATATTAACTATACAAAGGCAACTTGACCTTTTACATTGACTTAGAATTACAGATAGATAGTGTAATAGTTTTAGCACTTGTCTTTCATCTCTAAAACCTGGGTTTAAGTAAAGAAAGCTAGGATTATCCACTAAATAATCCACTGGGACTATGGACTATCTTCACCAATAACAAAATCTATAGTTGCTCTGTACTTATGAAACAGAACAGCTAGCATATTTGGCACCTATTTTTACTGTTATATTAATCATTCTTTGTACTACTGTAGTTTCCAAGAGCCTTAGGCATGGAGCAGGACTCGTGCTAGAAATCCTTCTCCAAGGATTTTACAGTCTAAGTACAAGACAAGAGACAGCAGCTGGATGCAGACAGATGGGTAGTTCAGGGAACTAACGAGATAACATTGGCTAGCCTGAGAGGCACCATTCTCAACACACCAGCATCCCATTGTCAAGTTTTTGTAGGCCTCATAGCAAAAGGGATTTAAGGATTTTGAATGTTTGTTTTGCAGATGTTTACAGGGAACTTTCCCCAAGGCTGAGCAGATTCTTAGCGAAGATGTTTCTTGCGAATTGAACAAGTGGTCAATGAAGGCGGGCATTATGGACCAGTCAACCTTTTGATACCGAGTGAAAGAAGATCAGTAGAGTGGGATAAGTCTCAAAGCACCTTGAAAACAAACACAAGTAGTTAATGTTTGATATGATAGAGAATAAAAAATCAGCAAAGGGATTTGCAAGTATGCTGGTATATCTTTGATTTCTATGTGGTATCTATGTATATTTGTAGTATATTTTAATGCTTATTGCCGCAGTCTTGTAGAATACCATTCACATTGTTTGGTTACTGACATGAAGTTATGCACCACCACAACTGCGGTGTTATCTATATCGCAGCCACTAAAGATATCACTTGAACTGACAGGTAAAATATTGGAGCAGCAGACAATGCTGTTTCTGGAGGAAAGCGCAGTCAAACGAAGCGAGGCAGCACAGCAGAGGAACACATCAGGCTAATAGTCAAGGAGTAGGGATGTAAATATTGATTCAAACAGTTAATGTGTTAAACAATTAAAATTATATCATTTAACTGGTTAACTGTTGGCGAGGGTAGGGCAGCCAGAGCAGGCGGTCTCACTATTACTGTGGAGTCCAGGTTCACTAGGACTGGGGCTGTGGGAGCCAAGGCTGCAAGATGCCCGGGAGCCAGGGCTGCAGTGTGGCCAGGAGCTGGGGCCCTGGGGAAACTGGGCACCAGGATCAGGGCTGCTAGTGCCATTGAGGGAGGGCCTGGTGCCATGGAGCTGGAATCTGGTTCTGATGTGGTGCAGCCAGGTCCCACCTGCTGCTCATATGGCGCTGCCTGCCACCCTGACCTCTTGTGAGATTCCTGCCAGCCAACTCTATGTGGCTGGCAGTCCGGTTAACCGGTTACCAAATAAGTGTTCTGATAAACCTAATGCTTACCAGGTAACCAATTAACCTTTTGCATCCTTATCAGGAAGTAGTTGGATGTCATTGCAGCAAATGATGGTATTGAGACCCTATCTGATCACCTAATCCCATTTTCTTACCAATGGAAGATTGGTCTTTATTGTATTTACCAGTGTTTGGCCAGATGTTTTAAATGACCCAAGTTATCTGGATTCTGCCCCTTTCCTTGGGAGATTGTTGCACAAGTTAATACATGTTCCTGACAGACATGATGCAAGACAGGGCAAACCACAGAAACCGCTGAGACAGACTGAAAGGGAAGAACCACATGGACTAAAAAGTCACTATTTCGTGTAGCTCACAAAATTCCCCTAATGTTTGTGAAACTGTCTCCTTCTCTCCACCCGTGGATGTTTAGTTACATGAGGATGGGGAAATGCTTGGTTTACAACTGTTAAATTATATTAAGTTGTACTCATGCCATGGATGGCAGAACCAGGATAGGGGCAATTTCTTTATGTCCTGTCTACACTAAGCAAAAAGGATTTGTAACCAAGTGTTGGATAGGATGTATTTCTACACACAGTCAACTTCAGAATGCTCGAAATTATGGTGCGTGTGGGAGGTAATATTAAAGCCATTTTTGCCACCTTCCTCAGCTCAGGCACGCCAGTGAATCTGGAGCAATATTTTTACAAAGTAGTGTGTTTCTTTGGGGTTGTTGTCTTAGTCTGTTTCAGCAAAAATGACAAGGAGTCCTGTTGCAGCTTAATGACAATCACATTTATTTGGGCATAAGCTTTTGTGGGCTACAGCCCGCTTTGACACAATTTTGTTAGTCTTTAAGGTGCCAAAGGACTCCTCGTTTTTGCAAAGTAACAAACAAACAAATCCCCAGCCCTCAAAGTATATTAAAAGATACTGTTAGGGCTTTTTATACATAGGAAAGAAGCCACACAGACCCTGGACATCTTCCCAAAATATTTTTGACAGTTAGGGTGTGTCTAGACTACATGGCTCCGTTGACGGAGCCATGTAAAGTAGTTTACACAACATAGTCAATGAAGTGGGGATTTAAATAATCCCCGCTCCATTAAAATAAAAATGGCCGCCACGCTGTGCCAACAATCAGCTGATCCGGCACAGTGCAGCAGTCTAGACGCGGATCGATCGTCAAGGGAAGCCCTTGTTGACCGATCTGTGTCTAGACTGCCACGCTCTACCGGATCAGCTGATTGTCAGCACAGCATGACGGCCATTTTTATTTTAATGAAGCGGGGATTATTTAAATCCCCGCTTCATTGACTATGTCGGGTAAACTACTTTACATGGCTCCGTTGACGGAGCCATGTAGTCTAGACACACCCTCACTACCACCCTAGTTCGAACTAGGGTGGTAGTGTAGACATACCCTTACTTTCAACTGGTTGATTTTTAGTAGTAGATGCTAAAGTCTGAAACATTAAAATAAGCCTACCAGGATGTGACTCTCCAGGCATTCTAAAATCAGAAGTCAAATCATGAGATTGGCTTAAAATTACAAAACTTTTTTTAAAAAAAACAATAGTGGGTGCTTTTATTTGCCTGGCTTCTTTTAGAGTACACATGGTTTTCATTTTCAAACTGTTTGGAATTGTGATTATAAATTTCTGAAAGCAGAGATTGTTAATCATCACTTGACTCCAAGAGCTATAGGTTTAAGAACACCAACCACTGTGCCACTGGTGATAAAACCAGGAGAGTTGGTAAGGCTAATCTTCATTTCAAATTTACAGTGATTTGCCATCAGAGTGAGTGGCACAGGTTCTCATGGGTGGCGAGGATAACAGAACCAAAGAACTGGAAGGGATCGTGAGAGATCATCTAGTCCAGTCCCTTGCACTCATGGCAGGCCTAAGTATTATCTAAATCATCACTGACAGATGTTTGCCTAGGGAGACTCTGGAATTTCCATCACTAGATTTTTAGAAGCAGGTTAGACAACCTATTCCAGTGCTTAACCACCAGCACAGTTAGGAAGGTTTTCATAACACCCAACCTAAACACCTAGGCTGTGTCTAGACTGGCCAGTTTTTCCGGAAAATCAGCCGCTTTTCCGGAAAAACTTGCCAGCTGTCTACACTGGCCGCTTGAATTTCCGCAAAAGCACTGACTTCCTACTGTAAGAAATCAGTGCTTTTTGCGGAAATACTATGCTGCTTCCGTTCAGGCAAAAGTCCCCTTTGCGCAAAACTTTTGCGCAAAAGGGCCAGCGTAGACAGCTGAGATTTGTTTTCCGCAAAAAAGCCCGGATCGCGAAAATGGCAATCGGGGCTTTTTTGCGCTAAAGCGTGTCTAGATTGGCCACGGACGCTTTTCCGCAAAAAGTGCTTTTGTGGAAAAGCATCCTGCCAATCTAGACGCTCTGTTCTGAAAATGCTTTTAACAGAAAACTTTTCCATTAAAAGCATTTCCGGAAAATCATGCCAGTCTAGACGTACCCCTATTGCTTCCTGTTTTTTTCCTCAGAGCTAAGGAGAACATTTTTTTCTCCTACTTGTAACAATCTTTCACACACTTGAAAACATTTTTCGTATCCCTCCGCAGTCTTCTCCAGACTAAAACCTATTTTTTTCAATTTTTCCTCATAAGGCCACGTTTTAATGGTTTTGTCCCAGAACAGTCCTGTGTAAGGGCTTAGAGGGGTAGCCAGCGATACTGTTAAAAACAGGAAGAGTTTACAATACAAAACTACATGGGACTGATGTGTCCCCTTGCCAATGCCTCTCCCCCTCCTGCAAATGCTTCCAGGGGCTTAGCCAGCTCCAAGATACTGTAGGCAGCCCAACCCTGGATCCAGAAAACCCCTGGGCAGCAGGAGTATGGGCGCTGGGGATTGCCCAGCGCAAGAAATTTACCAGAACCCAGCAGGGGAGTGGAGGCCCAGGGTACTTGGAATCCCCCGCCTCCCCGGAACCGGGAACCACAAAACATTTGGGCAAAGGGGAGCCTGAGCGCTGGGATGCCCCTAGGGACAGGGAAGCACGTGGCCGCCGGGGATCGCCGTGCGCCCCAGAGCGAGGAGCGGACCCTGCTGGGGAGGGAGGCGGTGCGGGAGCCGGAAGAGCCGGGGCTCCTTCTGCGCATGGAGAGCGGAGGGG